CTTTTTTGGCTTTCATTCATTCAACGTAACAATATTTTTTACATATTAGCTATGAGTATGGTCTATTGATTTTTTCGAACCTTTTCCGTGACCTCGTCACCCTAACTTAACCATGCTGCAGGCGCTTGATGTACATCTTGTACAATTTCTGGAGATGAGTGATAATGGACTATAAATATATGGCGGAGAACTTTTATTCTTATTAAATTATGATGTTTAGAATAGCGATTTAAACATTTTTAGCACATGAATAGTTATTGGATAAACTCGGTTTCGTCTGGAATAAAACTAGATTCTTGAGACACACGTTGTGGGTCAAGCTCAATACAATAAAGAATTGATCTCCGAAACAGATCTGTCAACCGTTGCTTTAAATGATAAACTCTGACAGACATTTACTTAGCGTAAAGCAGTCTGACACAAGCCCATGATAGTTGGGTGCTCAGAATAAAACTCCATACACAAGTCAATTAGCTCTAGTTATGAAGTTACTAAGCATCGCCTTACATTATGCCTTCTAAGTTAAAAGTTGTCTGGCATTAGTTCAAAACATTGGGCATCTGGTGAGGATCAAACTCACAATAAATGACAGTTGTATTATTGACTAGATTTAACTTACTTTGAAATATAGTAGTTGGTTTTCACTATTCTAAAGCGTCTACTATTGAATGCCTTACGTCCAAATGTATAATATCGTCTGTTAATTGTAGTCAACTTCTAAATTCAAAGGGTCATATATTTTACTTAATAATGGTCCTAAGATACAAGAGTTATAATCCGAAAAGTATTTCTTTAATATCATTTATATTACTTACATTCGGACTAATGTCCTCATCTTTGTTATTATCCCAACATTTCGATCGTTATGCTTTCCAGCCTTCATCAAGTGTTTGCCGGTCAGGGTAACATTCAGGGAAATTATAAATAAGCCCTTCATTTAGTAAACGGAGGTAGATTGTTCTCTTTCCGCTGTACATGCCTGGCTATAGTTTGCCGAATTCTTATCTAGTACCGTTCACTTATTACCCACCCTTTTTTCACAATTATTTACTACCCAACACAATTTCTATGTCACCAAATTCATCATTCACTCGGATATCTTATTGTGGGCGTAGAAGTTTGAGATTTATTTATAAAAGCTTTTCTAATTAAATAATATCATCGTTTTACTGCATTTGTTATTTTACGGTTCGGAATAGATTTTCGGTAAGAAATCAAAATGATGATTTAAATTATGCAATGAGCCCTGCTTTTAATCAATTTAAATATGAAGAGGCTGAAATTTTAATTTCTTGAAATTTCATAGAATTAAGTGTATGTGTGGGGGGTGTTAACAGCTGTAAAACATTACCAACATTTTTTTAAAAAAAAATTCATTCATTTGTGAATAATTAATGAAAATTTCATTAAAATCCGACAATTATTCAATTTCTGCAAGAATTTCCAAATTAATGTCTTTTTACCGCCAAAAACACGCTTAAATTCCCATAGTAATCTTTGGCCTAGCCTCAGACAAAAAAAAAAGAAGATTTTTAACCCAAATTTTGAATGTGCTAGAAACGATTATTTAAAAAAATAAGCAAAAAAATACTTTGTTCTTTTTTGGATAACAAACACATTTTTTGACGATAAAGCATAGTTTTCATCAAGTTTGGGGCCTTTTTTCATCATGCTATGCTGTTCTTTAGCGAAAAAGTAGAGGTACCTACTTAAAACTGCCGTGCCTGTGCTGCCACTGCTGCTACTCCTTGTCATGCTTGATTGCATTCATGTTTCTTTTAAGTCAGCGATTCTGAGTGTGAGCGGTAACGTTCTCTCGATGGTGCTTGATTGTCTGATTGGGACAAATTTATTTTCATATACGCATTTAAATTTTATTTTTTACCTATATTCTGACACGTTTTAAACGTACCTTTAAATATTTACATTCTATTAGAATATGTATGCGTCTAAAACCTGCAAGCGAAAGTCCGATATTTTCCATGGTCTGAGCTAGGGACTTCCGCTTGACTGTTTCCGCAACAGCTTAACTTCCGGTTTATTGGCTTTACTCTAATGCAATAAAACGTAACCATTTAAGCCTGATACATTAAATTTTCTCCACCTACCAGTATCATTTGAAGATAGTGTAAGTTGCCCGCGCAAATATCTGAAAAATGTACGTTGGTGAAGAAAATGTCAAGAATGACTGCTCGAAATGAAAAGGTGACATTGCCAGACTTAATAAGGGAGGAAGAATATTGTATAACTTGATAGATTTGATTAATTAAATATTGTGCATAATTTATAAATCAACTTTTAGTTATGCATGTATGTATAAATATACACAGTATTTGTACCCTTCGGTGTTTTGGTGGAGAAAAATCCCATGAGTCACATGATAGTAGCTTAGTGACGTCATTCCATACAATGACGAAAGCAGCACTCAATTTAAGCTTGTGTACATCAGCCAAATCAAGCAGTTGCGTTTTAGCCTGGTCCACGTGGTCCGGGCAGAGAATAAGTCTGCCTCCCCAGCAGCTTACAGGCCCAAGATGTCGTTTCCTTTTGGAAATATTATCTTCCCAGATATAGAAAGAAACCCCGTTCTGTTCTCTTTCTATTGCTCATGTCTAGAAATATCTCATCTTGTTTATATTTAGTACTGCACCGTTATTTCTCGTCCGATTTCCATAGCGTCCTTGTACACACTGCCCGGCACAAGGATTGAACTAATTAAACCACCAAATTCACGAACCAATGCCTTGATCCACTATACTATTATCTCGGATGACAATTTTAGATTGTTCGCGAGACAGCCAATCTTATAATCGTAGATTTTAAAACAATTATATATACAATGGCTTCTTGGACTAGTCTTCCATTATTAAAAAGAAAGAAAAGGCACACAACAACAGTTTCTGTGTATAAAGCGCAATTGGAGATTTATCTTTGTAAATATTTGCTGATTTTTTAAAAACACGTCTTACTTCAGCAGAAGAATTACATTCAGGAGAGTTTTGAAGATTAGGTTAAGCCAGTAATCAAATTGTGAAGTTCTAATCCTGAAAATCGATCTATAAAATCTTTGAATTTATCTAAAGGGTTAGGGTTCCTACCCTCTAATAATATTTCTACAAAACTTGTAAATAAATTAGTTATCCCTAACATTAGGATCTTTACCACCACGTCCAGAACAACTGAAGATATAATTCGGAAGAAAATTAAATCCAACACCAATTCAGATGCTAGCACTTATCAAAGTCACTGGTTATAATGTATGTAAAAGCATTTATATCGGAGAGACATCACGGAGTATAAAAGCTAGTATCTACGAGCATAAAAGGGATTTACGTTTAGTCAAACCATTCAAATTCTCTCATAATATACAGTAACAAAAGTGGCCATAACTTTTACTTTAAAAATGTCACAATAGTTAACAAAAAATATAATTCTTTTCGTCGAAAGTACTTTGTGGGTCTACTAAAAACAATATTATCAACTATAAACATACATCAAAAACATTACATTACATCGCATTAAAGATTCTAACGCATGTTGATCTAAAACAAACAGTATTTACGCAAAAACGTTTCCAAATCAACATGCGAAAAACCAACAAACATAATGTCTACTACTACTGCACACACTTACGAATATACATTATCATTTGAATTCGACATAGATTAACTAGAATTATGATACACCTCTCTACATGAAGCAACATTTGAGGTTGTTCAGTTAGGCATGGAATTCTTGAAAATTCGAAAAGGACGAGTCTTCTATAAATTCTGAACGTCAAAAATTATATTAACGTTTGTTTAATAAATTGAATGCACGTGAATCATGATTAAGCAATGAAAATCAAACAACACAAAAGTAAAATACCAGAATTTCTTTCTTCTTTTCCTTTATATATCATTGTCTGTGTGATGTACGTCGTACCTAAAAATCTTTCTTGTCAGATTCTAACCTGTACATTTATAGATCAACCATTCGTCTGTACATTGAATACTGCTGCCCTATCTGGTCGGGTGCTCCTGCTGTACATCTCGAGTTTCTTGACAAAAGCTAAATGCGGATCTGTAAGGTAATCGATCCTGAGCAGGCATTTCGACTGCAGTCACTTTCTCTCACTGACGTGATGTGGCTTTCCTCAACTACTCTTTCCTTGGTGCACCGAATACATGAATTTAACCTCGGAAGATAGATGGCGATTGACATTTCATTTACACTTTTGAAGATTGTAGTTATCAGAGAAACAAGGAAACAGAAGAGAATTTCACATGTGGAAGTGCGAGAAAATAAACTGTTGGAGTAGAAGTGACGGTTGCATTTTGTAATTTCAACAGTAAACTAGATGCTCGTCAAGCAGCAAGCTTAAATTCATCACTGTTCATCTTTTGTCATTTCCCTAATATTTTCTACAATTCTCCTTATTCCTTGTTCCGATTTTCCTTTCCCTTCCAGTAATCCTCATTCCCTGCGTAATGAAAGTTATTAAAAAGAGAGAGAGAGAGAGAGAGAGAGAGAGAGAGAGAGAGTTGCAAGTTTATCGCGAGAAGAACGTATTCAATGTATTAATTAAAAAAAAGGACATAATCCTTTAAAGTGAAACTACATTGTCGCTTAATAATAACATGATTACCAACTATAAACAAGACTCTTCACAAACCTACATCCACATAGAATTATCCACGGTTTTAATACACATAACACGTGTCTGAGCAATGAGAACTGATCCAAGCATAATTGAAAATACCAGTGTTTTCTGTCTTTTTGCTTGTTTTCTCTTAATCTCTGACGAAGCTACAACAAAAGGGAAACGAGTTATATTGACATGTTTCCTATTTGTTCTTTTCTCTTATTATATATATATATATATATATATATATATAGAGAGAGAGAGAGAGAGAGAGGGAGAGAGAGACAGACAGATTCGTGTCTGTGAGTTCTTTAAAATTTATAAGTAAAGAGTACTCAGTATCGAAGTGAACATGGAAATAAAGGCTGCATTGTGAATGCTTCAATGTGATCATCAGAACACGCGCCAATTCTTCTTTTACGATATCTATCTATCTATCTATCTATCTATCTATCTATCTATCTATCTGTCACTGGGGATTGAGAGAAGTGGGGCCAGAAGGAAACATCTTCAGTCAATTTTGGTTTAGTGAAAATCTTTATGGTTATTTAAGGTCAGGGATATCTACATCGCTTATTTATATATTGTATTTTTTAAATTCCTTTAGTAGAAAAGAAATTCCTTTTACGTTGCCTTTAACGGCATCATTAACCATTCACAAAAATCTGAGACGATAACACGAAAGGCTTAAGATGAAAGAAAGTTTTCAGACATTGGACAATTTATTTTTCAATATGATATTCAGCAACAGAGTATGAAACATAGAAAAAAAACAAAACAAATAAAAACAAAACCCTTTCGTTACTCTTCAATCTAACATTTTATATATATATATATATATATATATATATATATATGATGGACTCTCCCGTCGATTTCGACGTATGAGGTTCGGACAACCCATATTTATAAAATTCATTTATGCTTTTGCCTCTGATGACTTTTTAGTCCAGCAAGGGATTTGCAAACAAATATATATATATATATATATATATATATATATATATATATATATATATATATATATATATATATATATATATATATATATATACTTACTCTGTCCTGGACATTGAGTTCTACCTGGATTCTATCCTCTTGGAATTTTTTATGCAAAAAATATACATGTATGTACCTATGTATATATATTTATATATTTTGCATATGTATGTATATATTTACCACTAGTATTATATATATATATATATATATATATATATATATATATATATATATATATATATATATATATGCTAGATGTTATAATTAATTCTTAACTTTCAATTTAAACAGTGTGAATTACGTCTATCGACTTGAGAAATCTAAGTAATGAAAAATTATCCTTTGTAAAGGATCGAACCATCATTTCTCTTTCCTGAGATAACTACCGCTTGAGTTGTTGTGCTTTCCCGATCTGCGACAAAATACTTCACGATTGGCATGGTCCATTTTACCCTATTTAAAGAAACGCAGATTTCTCGAGTGCTTAGGCCACTAGACGTAATAAAGTTTGGTGCGTCTGTTTTAAATAAGATGTTTTTACTAGATTAATATTTGAAGTAATAAAAAATGTTGGATTAAAAATGAACCCATTAATTCTTTAAAAACACACACACACACACACACACACACATATATATATATATATATATATATATATATTTCTTTAAAAAACGTTACGATTGATTTTTTATCAAAAGTTATAGTATTGACAAGCATCAGGGAATTTATCCTGAGGAGCAAAATAGCCATAAAAATGGGGTACAATTTAGTTTCATTTTTATGTAATTCATTTCTACGCTCTATAATAAATATATTGAGTTCTCTTTTGTGGATCAGATTCAATATTTTTATATTATTAGGATTCACTTGGATTATTTACCCACGGATTTTTTACCTATATATATATATATATATATATATATATGTGAAAAGTGTATATAAATATAAATAAATATATATATGTATAATTATTTATATATTATATGCACAGTACTTATTAAAAGCGCTCAATATCAGAGATAGAGCTAACATATTTGGTTGGATAGATGTGAGTTTTCACATCTATCTAACAAATATATATATATATATATATATATATATATATATATATATATATATAAAATAGAAATCACTTAATCGCTAGATCATCGACAATAATGCGTAATCACTAGACCATCCGCAGTAAATTTGAGTTCAGGTTCTAACAACGTTTCACTTGGCAGATCTTATATTATCATGACGTGGGATAATTAATAACAAAAATAATGGAAATAAATTATTATTTACCAAAAACACATTTTAAAAAAGACATGATGGTTTCTCCTATAAAGAGGACGTAGATTCGAACCCTGTCCAAGATACATTTTCTTTATTAATATCTGTCGAGTGCGCAGGCCGATAGATAAACATTGTTTAAAATAAAAACGAGGCTTCTATTTCAAACACGGGCATCCACTAAAAATAGTAAAATATGACTGTTTATCGTTTTAGGCTAGGAATATATTTTCCTGTCAACAATGATGCAGTTTTAGTCACGAGCAAATTCGATATTTAACTTATTCAAATAACTATTGCAAAACAACATTAGGTTTGTATTAATGCTGAGCGGTGAGTTCGAACTCTGGTTAGTGCACTATACCGGTGCCATAAGCTCAAATAAAATAAGGTTCATAAAGAAGTACATTGATTTTAGATAATAGCCTTTCCTACTTTACACATCGTCTATATATCCACACATAGCTTACATACATTTAAAGACATAGACTTGCATAAGAAGCATACAGAAAGTGGGTGGGGGATGAAGCGTTAAAAAGCAAGTCTATTGACTGGTTTAAGGCGCCTTCCGTAAACTGACGCTCACTCTGTAAGAAAACTCAGTCGGGAACCAAACAACGTGACAATCAGCTTAAACATGAGTTAGGTACTTTTAAAACATAATCTGGTTCATTCAGATATTTTTGGTGATCACTCTATTTGTTTTGAAGTCTAAAGTTCTACCTGGGAGAGAAAAATAAAATAATGGTGCGTGAAATTTCTTAAAAGGGCTGTGGTGAAATAATTTATTACATGGAACCTTAAAGTGGTCTGTCTTTTAAAGGACTGCGGATCTTCAGACTTTACTTCCAAACAAAAGATGAAAAGAAAATTTACACATTTAAATTATTTGCTCTGGATTTACATTGAGCTCTCTGGATTTTATCCTCCGTAGGTTTTCCCCATACGGATTACCTAGTTTTCATAAACTAAATATATATATATATATATATATATATATATATATATATATATATATATATATATATATATATATAATCATTTTATAACGAGCCAGTGGATAAGTAGTGCCACTAGTACGCAGGGTGGTTACTGGGAATGAAAGTGAAAGAGAAGCCTGAGAATAGGGAGTGTTGAAGAAAGGAGAAAAAAAAAATGAATGGAGTTCAAGAAGACAGAAGATGGCGGTTGATGATGCGTTTACATTTTTGAAGGTTGTAGTTATCAGGCAAGCAAGAAAACGAAAATGAGATTTACTGACTGGAAGTGCGAGAAAAGGAATTGTTGGAGTAGAAGTGGCGGTGGCATTTAGCTATTTCAGCAGTAAAGGAGTGGGACCTAAATGCCAATCTAGTCGTACGCTTAAATTCATGTAGTCGGGTCAGCAGAGAAAAAATTCGTCAGAGAAGTTGCTATGAAAATATTTATAGAAAAGACAGAGGGAAGCCATGTTACGTCGCTGAGAAAGTGGCTGATATCGAGATACCTGGTGAAGATCGATTATATTTCAGATCTTTCTTTGAATTTTGTCAGGAATCTTGAGATGTACACCAGAAACACCAGACCAAATAAAGCAGCAGTATTCAATGCACGGACGAATGGTAGATTTGTAAATATGCAAGATTCTGGCACGACGTAGTTACCCAACTTTCCTTGCAAATTAGATACAGCTATTGTTTTTTTTAAGAACAGTAACGCACTGAAATTCCAATGCACATTGGAATAGCAAAATATGCCTTTCAAAAGCTAAGCTAAATATTAAGAGACGGTAAAATATCGTTAGAAAAGAAACAAAAACAAAAAAGTAAGAAAAAAGAGCACTGAACTGTTATGTAATATTAATCCTCTTATATGGGAATGAATTCTGGACACTCTCCTCACAGGGAAGAATGTCGAGAACACCAATGGATGGGGTGTGTGCGGTACGATGAAGTACCAAGGGAATTGGACACAAAAAGGACGCTTATGATGAGAATCCGAAAGAGACAGCTGTTATTACTTCGATACATCATGAGAAAAAAAGCTTGGCGAATTTAACACTCACAGGACATATCGGAGGCAAGATGGGAACCTTGATGTGGTGTAATGGTTAGAAAGCTTGTCTCGCTAGACAAACTGAGTAGTGAGTTCGATTCTCACTGGGTGTCCCATACTTTAGACCTTGTGCCACATCTAAGCTATTCTTAGAAAATCACCATATTGACGACAAGAGTAACTGAAGGTGGGGGGTGTCTACCCGACGAGTATTTGTGAATGGATGACTGAACGGTGTTTGGTGGGGGTGGCAAAAAGACAAACATTACTATGAGCCACAAAAGATGGGAAGTTGTGGAGCGCCACGATCTCCCACGTCCTGAAGTGTATTTTCGATGATAATTATCTTCTCATGCTGCTAAAATCAAGAACAACAAACAATAGATGTTTTGTCAAGAAAGCGTGCACACAGACACAGGAAAAACGCATGAACGCACGTGCGGATGCCCTGTTATCTCTTCCCCGCCTCCCACCTCCCTCCTCGACACGCAGAACCCAATAAGCGCTGTGATCAGTCGCTCACGCGCAAGCGCAGTTTGTTAGCGCACCGTCTCGCAGGCCGCATCAGGCAGCGACGAGAATGTAGAGAAAAGTTAACAACGGCTTCACCCAATCGCAAGGCGCTAAACACGAGGAAAGAAGAGCGAGAAGAAAAGAAAGTCCAAATTGAGCGGCACGACGAATATTGTCTACGTTGTAGGTAGAAGCCTACTGTTTGTTGGAGGTGTGCGTGTGTGCGCATTTGTTGTACCACAGGGCTTTACCGTACGGCAGGAACAAGCATAAATCTATCTATCTATCTATCTATCTATCTATCTATCTATCTATCTATCTATCTATCCCAGTCTCCATATCTATCTATCTATCTATCTATCTATCTATCTATCTATCTATCTATCTATCTATCTATCCCAGTCTCTTCACTATCTATCTAGTTATAAATTGTAATTTTTTCCCAGTCAGTCTGATCATACTGAAATCTCAAATCAATCTATCATTATTTATTTTTCATATCAATCTATTTGCATCGAACCCCACTCTCTATATTTACCTTCTATCTATCTATCTATCTATCTATCTATCTATCTATCTATCTATCTATCTATCTATTTTTAAAACTTCTAATCACCCCCCTCCCCATCCAAAACGATTTTTTATGGAACTCGAATCCTGGATCGAATATGGATTATTACCAGTAAGAAAGGATCACTATTGTCGATTGCATAACAGACGGTAGTGGGACTGTTAAAGACGGACAACAAGACGGAAGGGGAGGCGGTTTGGTCGGTGAAGCAGCGTTCTTGGACCGGCGAAAGACGGCACTTGGGAAAGGCACTACGGTTGCAACATCAGGGACTGCGGTGGCGGGCAACAAGTCGTCGGCCTTAG